TTGAGAAACGCTCTCGGTATTGTCTGCACTTATCTCGATTTGTAGACAGCTATAGAGCCTACAGTAACAGAAATCGATTGCGAATTATCGGGCGCGTTTGTCTGTTGTATCGAGAGCTCTGAACTCGGCCTGCTGCTCGAGCTAGGTTCGCGAAACTATTCGTATTGTTTGAATCATTTTGAAAGTCATCCTGAGAGATGCTGTCGGGTTTCTGCATTTAACTCGGCTGTAGCGGGGCTGCAGGGCTGGTAATCACATGAGTCGATTCGCAGACATCTGACGCGTCCGCCTGTCGCATTCAGAGGTCTGAGCTCGGTCTGATCAGACGCGTCCGCTTATCGCATTCAGAGGTCGAAAATTATTCTCTATGAGTCAGAATGTTGGTAGGTGCTCTCGGTTTTCTCTGCTTAAGTCGAGCTTGGAAGCTCTACGAGTTCCCCGGCGGTAACCAAGGTTGACGGTTTACCGCCGGCGCCCAGTCGATGAGCTAGAGGAATTCGGCGCGGGGTGGAGCTATTACCTCGTAGAGCTCTTCGGCATCGATGAGCTAGAGGAATTCCGGCGCGGGGTGGAGCTAGTTGGCCGATCCGGCCAGAAAGAGCAAAGTGTTAACTTTTGGTCGGTTTTGCTAAGATTTGAAAGATATTCGCCATTCATTTTGAGAAAGCAGATTAACACTCCGAGCATTGACATATAAAATTTGTTCTCTGAGCAGTTCAGCTCTCTAGATCCATTTTTAATACCAGTTCACTTGGAGCAACCGACTTCATGTTGACTCCGAACAATCTGAACTTGAAGTTTTTGTAGAAAAGCTGCCAGAAGCTCTCGCTTTGATCCTGAGCTTTGTCACGTGCACGGAGCTCTACGAGGTTTCCGGCGGTGACCAGGTTGACGGTTCACCGCCGGCGCCAGTTGGCCCAGCCAGCCGAGACGGACAATGTGACAACTTTTGGATGGTTTTGCGAACATTTGGAAGATATTTGACCATTCATTTTGAAAAAAGCAGATTTTTACGCTGAGCATTGGCGTATGAACTCCTCTCTGACAGCAGCTCAGCTCTCTCGATGCATTTTTGCATGAGTTGACTTCCGGGAACTGAGCGAATATGAACATCGAAAAAATCAAATTTCAAGATTTTCGAAACATCTCCATTTTTTGATTCTGTGTCGATTCTCTGCACTCTTACTAGTGAAAGGAGCTCTACGAGGTTCCCGGCGGTGACCAGGTTGACAGTTCACCGCCGGCGCCAGTTCCGGAGCGCTGGAGAGCTAGTTGGCAAGAGAAATCTCGACGGACCTTTTGGTGACTTTTGGTCGGTTGAAAATTTTGTTCTCAAAATTTGACCATTCGTTTGAGCTCTAGTATTTTTTCCCATGATATTCGATCTTATTCCCGCTCGCCATCTTGATCTTAGCTCGATCGGGTAACTTTGAAGGCCAAAAAGCAGGCAGGCGGGAACGGCCGTTTCGAGTCATCTTGATACGTGCTGTCGGTTTTCTCAAGATAACTCGAGCTTCAGGACAACTACAGATCTGGTCAGCACAGCTAATGCATTCAGAATGATCAGGCGCGTTCGCCTGTTGAATCCAGAGGTCTGAACTCGGTCTGCTAGCCGAGCTAGGGTCGCAAACCTATTCGTATTATTCGAGTCATTGTAGCAGACGCTCTCGGTTTTTCGTACTTAACTCGATCTGTAGGGCAGCCGCAGAGCTGATAATCACAGAAATCGATTGAGAATTATCAGGCGCATTCGTCTGTTGAATCAAGAGCTCTGAACTCGGTCTGCTCCCCGAGCTAGGTTCGCCAACCTATTGGTATTGTTCGAGTCATCTTGAGAAGTGCTCTCGGTTTTCTGTACTTAAATCGTGCTGGGGAAGGGCTACAGTGCTTCTGGTCACAGGAATCGATTTCGAGAAATCAGGCGCGTCCGTTTATCGAACCGAGAGCTCGGAACTCGGTCTGCTGCTCGAACGAGATCCTCGAAACTGTTGTATTATTCGAGTCATCCTCAGAGGTACTCTCGGTTTTCTGCACTTAACTCAGGCTGTATGGGGGGCTGCACAGCTGGTAATCACAGGAATCGATCCGCAGATATCAGACACGTCCGCCTGTCGCATTCAGAGGTCTGAACTCGGTTCATTCATACTCGAGCTCGATTGGAAAACTGTTCGTTTGTTTTGTTAGAGTCATCTTGAGAGGTCTATAATCGCTTGGGCTGAAAAACTAGTCGTTCACTGAAATTCTTTTCCACATTATGTATTGTCAGGAAGCTCTACGAGTCCCCCGGCGGTAAGAAAGGTTGACGGTTTACCGCCGGCGCCCAGTCGATGAGCTAGAGGAATTCCGGCGCGGGGTGGAGCTAGTTGGCCGACCCGGCCAGAACGGACAAAGTGGTAACTTTTGGGTGGTTTTGCGAATATTTGAAAGATATTTGACCATTTATTTTGAGAAAGCAGATTTTTCGCACCTGTAGTGGGTTATGGCGCGTCCGCCAGTAAAATTTTCAGGCCCATAGATGCAGTATTATTATCAAACACTTGGCGGAACCGAGGTTGTATAAAAACAGAAAAACACGATTTTTCGAGTTTTTCGTTTCTCGCCTCAGGAGCTTTCTTTGTGTGTTCCGACGATCGCTGTGCAAGAAAAGAGCTCTACAAGGTTCCGGCGGTAACCAGGTTGACGGTTTACCGCCGGTTCCAGTCCGGCGCGGGGTGGAGCGTTGGCCGACCCGGCCAGAACGGACAAAGTGGTAACTTTTGGGTGGTTTTGCGAATATTTGAAAGATATTTGACCATTTATTTTGAGAAAGCAGATTTTTCGCACCTGTAGTGGGTTATGGCGCGTCCGCCAGTAAAATTTTCAGGCCCATAGATGCAGTATTACTATCAAAACACTTGGCAGAACCGAGGTTGAATAAAAACAGAAAAACACGTTTTTTCGAGTTTTTCGTTTCTCGCCTCAGGAGCCTTCTCTGTGTGTTCCGACGATCGCTGTGCAAGAAAAGAGCTCTACGAGGTTCCGGCGGTAACCAGGTTGACGGTTTATCGCCGGTTCCAGTTGGTGACTTTTAGTCGGTTTTGCGAAAATTTGAAGGATATTTGACCATTCATTTTCAGAAAGCAGATTTTTGCGCGTCGCATTGGCATATAAACTTCTCTCTGACAGCAGCTTAGCTTTTCCGATGCATTTTTGAATGAGTTGACTTCCGGGAACTGAGCGAATATGAAGATCGAAAAAATCGAAAATACAGATTTTCGAAAAATCTCTACTTTTTGACTCTGTGTCGATTCTCAGCACTCGTACCAGTGAAAGGAGCTCTACGAGGTTCCCGGCGGTGATCAGGTTGACGGTTCACCGCCGGCGCCAGTTCCGGAGCGCTGGAGAGCGAGTTGGCAAGAAAAATCTCGACGGAACTTTTGCTGACTGGTCGGTTGAAATTCTGTTCTCAAAATTTGACCATTCGTTAGAGCTCTAGTATTTTTTCCCATGATATTCGATTTTATTCCCGCTCGCCATCTTGATCTCAGCTCGATCGGGTAACTTTAAAGGTCAAAAAGCAGGCAGGCGGGAACGAGGCGCGTTCGCATGTTGAATCCATAGGTCTGAACTCGGTCTGCTAGCCGAGCTAGGTCCGCAAACCTATTCGTATTACTCGAGTCAACTTGATACGCGTTGTCGGTATTTTCTACTTAACTCGAGCTGTAGAGCAGCCACAGTGCTGGTAAGCACACCTATCGCACTCAGAATCATCAGGCGTGTTCGCCTGTTGAATCCACAGGTCTGAACTCGGTCTGCTAGCCGAGCTAGGTCCGCAAATCTATTCGTGTTATTCGAGTTATCTTTACAAACGCTCTCGGTATTTTCTGTACTGAACTCGAGCTGTAGGCAGCTACATAGCCTACAGTCACAGAAATCGATTGAGAATTGTCGTGCGCGTTTGTCTGTTGTATCGAGAGCTTTGAACTCGGCCTGCTGCCCGAGCTAGATTCGCAAAACTATTCGTATTGTCCGAATCATCGTGAAACGTGCTTTCAATTTTCTGCACTCAACTCGTGCTGGGGGAGGGCTACAGTGCTGCGGGTCATAGAAATCGATTTGCACACATCAGGCGCGTTCGTTGGTCGATTCGAGAGCTTAGAACTTGGTCTGCTGCTCGAAACAGGTCTGCGAAACTATTATATTATTCGAGTCATCCTGAGAGATGCTGTCGGTGTTCTGCACTTAACTCGGGCTGTAGGGGGGCTGCAGGGCTGGTAATCACATGAGTCGATTCGCAGACATCAGACGCGTCCGCCTGTCGCATTGAGAGGTCTGAACTCGGTCTGATCAGACGCGTCCGTTTGTCGCATTCAGAGGCCAAAAAATATTCACTATGAGTCAGAATGATGGTTGGTGCTCTCGGTTTTCTCAACTTAAGTCGAGCTTGGAAGCTCTACGAGGTCCCCGGCGGTAACCAGGTTGGGCGGAGCTTACCTCCTGCTCAGCCTGGCCTCACCGCTGGGGTCCCCTCGTCTCGAGCTGCATTGTGCAGTAGGGAGTCTTCGGTTCCACATACTGTACACGGAAGGCGGAAGCGCGGGAATCGAAATCTGGCGGGGCATTCCTTCACAACGTGGTTCCACATACTGTACACGGTGCTTCAGAGTCTGTTTTGCCTGAGTACCGCGGGTGCACATATCTTATTCTTTCTCTGTATTGCTCCAGTGGTGGGGAACTCTCAATACTTTGGGATTGATTCTTGCCAGAGCTTGTCAGTTTTGCTCCCTGTGCACATTTCTGTGGACTCTGTCACACGTGTGTTCATTGAAGTTGGCCACAATATACAACTCCGTCGCACGAGTGCCCATTAGAGTATGGCGCTCGCAGTATCGGGCAGCCGGCGCAAGAGAGAAGACGACGGGGCTGAGGGCATGGACGCTGAGAATGTACTAGATGCTGATATCCACGGATTGGCTTTTGATGAACAGAATCCCATGAAGCAATTCTTCGAACTGGGAAAGCAGCAACTGCAGCAGCAGAGAATTACTGACCGCAAGGTGACAGGCATGGTTAACGATATGGCTGCCATGCAACGACGACAGGACAGTGCTGAACGACGAATGGCTGAGGGCCAGGCTCAGATGGATAAACGAATGACAGATCTGGAGAAGCAGGTTTTAGAGCTCAAGTCGCATACCGCTGCAGGTTCTGGGGCATCCACTGGAGCTACTTCTGCTGGCTTTGGGGGTGAGGCGACTTGGCCAAACGAGAGCAGGCGTCCATTCCGAGCCTTCAATCCAGAGTGGATCGATTTTCGTGGATGGGTGATTGACTGGAGTAATCCGATTCGACGGTCAGAGCAAATGATTTCAGATCGGGACGTGGGCATTCTCATTCACAACTTGAAGATGAGCCTTCCAGAGGATGACCGTGCGAAGATTGACGAGCTTGGTACGCTTCGTATGAATGGGAATCGTCCCAACTACGCAAACTTCCGCATCAAGTTTACCACTGGTACTGAGTCAGACGTACTCTGGAGGTGCAAAAAGTTTTGGGAAGAAGCTCTGATCCCGCCTGAGGATCGAACTGAGGAGCAAAGGTCTCTTGCCCGTCCGACACCACAGGATCTTTTCAAAGACATGGACAACAGACCGTGTGCGGCTGGAGGCTCCATTCGGATCAAGACACAGGCGCCGCCATGGAAAGAGGACCACATCAATGCTGTTGGCAGATTCCATGGTGTGTGGCGCGATACGGTCGTTGCGAGGAATCCTGATACGCCAATGAAGATCAAGGGAGTGCCTGGGAGTGGAAAGGGGGTCAGTGTGATGTGGACCATTCCCCCATGTCTCCGTGCCAAAAGAAGCATGGAGCTGGCCAGGTGGAAACAGGATACGGGCACTTGGACTGTTGATCAGACGGTCTGGAACGAAGTTGTCATGACATACGGCATCGCCACGACCCACAAAGAAATGGAGGATGCACTCGGACAATGAGGGTGCTGCGAGAGATCCAAAAGCATGGCTCTCGCTACTCTCGCGGCAGGCACACTCAATGTTGCGAGAGCTGGGCGGCTCGAGTCTCGGGCGTACGCTATTCTACGAGCACTACATGGGGTAGGCTTAAATGTTGTGGCTTTGCAAGAATGTCAAAACGTGGACTTCAATGACACCTTAATTCAGCGTCTGGGGTGGGATGCTGCTTCAAAAAGTACTTGCATGCGGGCAGCGGTGCTTCTCAAACGTCGCCACCTGCCCCACATGATAGCCTCTTATCAAGCAGATCGGGTTGCGATGATTGTTCATCGATCGGGAGTTTGTTTCACTAGTGCTTACTTTGCTGATGCGTCTCATCCAGATGCTCCAGAGATATGCAGACGGATACTGCATGATGTACGCCGCCTGCACCGACAGGCTCAGGCCAACCATGGCCATCACTTTCGCCTGTTGCTTGCCTGTGATGCCAATGTGGAGCTCACGCCAGAGTTGGAGGTGGATGGGAGGAGGGTGACGGGACCAGGACTCAGAAGATCGAGGGAGAGGGGACTTGGTCGGAACGGTGCCATCGATTTGGAGGACAGGAGGGCCAAGGAGGTGTGCATGAGGGACCAGATTGAGGAGTTCTTGGAGGAGGAGGAGCTGGCTGCGATCAACACTTTTGAAGCACGGGTGCCGACCTACTGGCACTTCGGTGAGAGTGAGCCCACAAAGGTTTTAGATTACATCTTGGCGCCCAGGCAGTGGACAGTAGAAGATATCTCGTACAGTTGGTTGCAGGACGGGCGTGTGGCACGTTTGAGCGATCATGCAGTAATCAAAACCCTGTTGGCCCCAAGGGAACCCCAGCAGATGTACCGACACAAGGTTGTTCGGCCACACGTCACGGCACGCCGGGCATTCGAGTCCCACAGAGAGGAGTTCTGTTTCAGAGCGTTGGTGGACATTGGTATTGAGGCCACACGCCCTGACGAGATCGCGAAGTCGTTGCATCAGCATGCGTTGCCTCTGCTTAACCCGCCTTCCTCTGCGCATCGTGCACATGCTAAGTCTAAAAAGCTAGCAGATCTTCAGCACCAGTATCGTGGAGCCCGTGGGAATCCTGATGAGAGAAAGCGCCTGAGGGAACTTATGAGGCCCCTGGTCAAGGCAGATAGGCGTAGTGAGATCGAGTATACCTTCGCGAACTCCCGCAAAAGCAAGAAAGTGAATGTCAAGTCTCTGAAGATCGACGGGGAGATGACGGAGGATCGTAAGAGGTGGGTGGAGGAGGGGATGAAGCAGCACAGCTTGAACACGATGACGAGCGAGGAGGAGAGGATGAGGAACAGCGAGCTGGTATCTGACTTACGGCGACGTGCACGAGCAGCTAGGGCACACAGCAGCAGCAGTACGATGCACGACATGCGCATGCAGCTCACGATGGGGGTGGTGAACGAAGCACGTGCACGATTGCGATCTGGCAAGAGCTGCGGCCCAGATGGGGTCAGCGTGGAGCTCTTGAAGGCTTTGGCGTGGCGAGCTGTTCGCCAGATTTTCCATGTGTTTCGAGATATCTTTCAAGGTGATCGTCGGTCACCTGACTGCTGGAGAGAGGTACTCATCACGCTGATGCCCAAGCTGATGAATCTTGATTCGCTCACACAAACACGCAATCTAGTTGTACAGAACACGTTAGGAAAATGGTACCTCACCTGTGTTACTATCCTTATCGAGAGGCATGCTGAACAGTACATGGGGCGATTGGGCTTGTATGGTTTCGCACAGGATCGGAGGACGTGGGAAGTAGCGGGACCCCTTAAGGCCATCTCACAACATGCGAGTGTTTGGGGGAAAGATAGAAAAGCGTTCTTCTGTTCATGTGATATAGCACGAGCCTTCGACCATGTTAAGCTCACTACTTTGGCACGCGCGATGCACATGCTTAACATACCTGTACAGCTACAATATGCTCTGATCGAGCCCTTAACTGACACGACGGGCACGCTCACGTTCGAGGGCCTGGAGTTAGGTGGGGTACGATGGGATCGATCTCTCAGAACGGGGGGTACCGAGTCTCCCCTGTGCTTTAATTTGGTTGTGTTGGCCATGTGGGCGGAGGTCATACAGAGGTGGGATAATGAACGTATAGGTGTGGAGATCCCGTACAGCAACATGCACGACATGACGCGCGCACATGTTTACAATCATGCGATTTGGGCAGATAATATATATCTCGTGGCCAGTACATCGGCTCAGATGCAGCTGATGATCAACACACTCACTCACGCTTTACGTACATGGGGACTAGAGTGGAAGTCAGATTCACTTGAATCGATGGTGGTGGGCGACCGCGATACCACTACTTTCTTCGCTGATATCCAGGGGGTGCAGGTCCCGTTCAAGTCAGTCTCTCAGCTGAATGTGTTGGGAACGATCGTCTCGCAGCAGTATGGGGGCACGCACGAGGACATACAATTTCGGGTTGAGTGTGCACGGCGCGCGTTTTATGGGCAAGCTAAGTATTATCGTTGTCGTGCTCTCCCTCTTCGTAAGCGGTATCGACGGTATCAGAGCCTGGTACAGAGTGTATTAGCATACGGATTGGATACATGTACGCTGGACCCTGAAGGTGTTCGATTGCTGCATACCTTTGAGGGCAGATGCCTGCTGGCCATGCATTGTCGAAGGAAGCCTGCGGGACAGAGATGGGAGGTCTGGAAGCCACATATGCTTGACACAGCGAGGGCTTCTTTCTGCTCGCTGGGATTTCCTAGCATCGTCCAGATCGTGGCGTGGAAGAGTTGGAGCGTCGCGCATTCGGTAAGCACGGCCTACGGCAATTTTGACTTCACAAATCCTGGGCCTCCCCGGTGGACAGGCCCAGGTTCAGGAGTAAGTTGTGAGGATGGGGTCTCGAGCGGCTCTCAGCAAAATGATGGCGCTGACGGCCGACGTGTTGTACGCAAGATTGAGCCACATCCTGATACCACGAGACGTGCATTTGTTGATTCTCGCACGGCATTGCTTTGTACACACAAGACTTGGGAAGCGCACCGCATGGCTCTCACTGAATGTCTCCGCTGTCATGGAGATCGTAGGCGTGCCTCTGAAGGCAAACGGCTGCGCGCGGGAGGAGATAGTGTTGGGCAGCGGTCTTGGCAGTACCCGTACATACAGACTCATGGGGATGAGTGGTGGGAGACCTTCCGACCAGGATATGCCACATTTCTGCAGACATGGGAAGCACTTTTACGCACGTATGGTAGGCCTAAGATATTCGAGTACTTCTGCACGAATTGGAAACAGGTACCAGGAGGAGATGTTGGGAGAGAGTGTAAGGAGGGAACTGGAAGGAACGAGGAGGCGACGGAGGAGGAGAACATGAAACAAGCAAGACGGTTGGCGATTATTAATGAACGGGAAGCTGTATTTGATATCATGTCGAACGGAGTTGGAATTGAGATCAAGGGAGACTCTTTGTTGGTCCAGAGCTGGCTTACGGGACGTTGGCGTTGTCATAATCGTGCATATCGTGAGCGTGTACACAGGTGTGTCAATGACATGTACGCACTTAGCCTTTCACACCGAGCACGGGCATCGAACGTTGGGAGAGACATATTTGTACATGAATTTCGTGAAGCAAACACCCGAGCAGACGAACTTACTCATTTGGCCAGGGATGGCCACACATTTCATCATAACTATTGCCATCGATATCCTTTCGAACGAGATTCTTTGAAGGTAGTCGCCTGTCGTGGAGGGTACGACGGGGGAGTGTGCAGCAAGGGCAGTGCATGCGGTTACTGGATGCAGGTTGGCTATCTCAACATGTCCTCACGGGCGTCTCGGCATGGAGTGTGTTCTACACGATACTCCCCCTACCCGACCTCTTCCTCTCTACATTATCATGCTGACACACCGTTGATTTGGAGAGACGCTGCTGCTGCGGCCTGGCTGGAGCCAGGCGCCACGATCACCGAATGTGAGTTGTCCGCTGCCGAAGCATTGACACGTGCCATACGCATACAGCTACAGCAATTTGATGACAGTGATTTTGCTTCTTGATGATGTGTTATCCCTACGCCCTCCTGGGCTCGGGAATCGTCTTCAAGTTTAGCAATGTTATATGACACCTCAGCCCGCCTCCGTGGGTAGGTGCTCGTTTCACTGCTGCTCAGTTGCCAGGCTGCGTAGCTGACACGGGCTGCGCTGAAGACCAGCGCCTCGCCAGCCCGCGTAAACACAAAAACCAAGGTTGACGGTTTACCGCCGGCGCCCAGTGTGGCAACTTAACTCGTAGAGCTTTCCTTAGCTAGTTATAGCTGGAAGCTTAGAGTAATTCCGGCGCGCTGGAGAGCTAGTTGGCTCGAAAAAAAAGAACTGAACTTTTCACAACTTTTGCTCGGTTGAAAATTCTGTTCTCAAAATTTGAACATTCGTTAGAGCTCTAGTATTTTTTCCCGTGATATTCGATCTTATTCCCGCTCGCCATCTTGATCTCCGCTCGATCGGGTACCTTTTACTGCCAAAAAGCACACTGGCGGGATCGGCCGTTTCGAGTCATCTTGATACGCGATGTCGGAATTTTGTACTAACTCGAGCTGTAGGGCAGCTACAGCGCTGGCCAGCACATCTATCGCGTTCAGAATCATCAGGCGCATTCGCCTGTTGAATCCAGAGGTCTGAACTCGGTCTGCTAGCCGAGCTAGGTCCGCAAACCTATTTGTATTATTCGAGTCATCCTGACAGACGCTCTCGGTTTTCAGCACTTAACTCGAGCTGTAGGGCAGCTACAGAGCTCATAGTCACAGAAATCGATTGGGAGATATCAGGCGCGTTCGTCTGTTGAATCGAGAGATCTGAACTCGGTCTGCTGCCCGAGCTAGGTTCGCGAAACTATTCGTATTCTCCGAATAATCTTGAGAAGTGCTCTTAATTTTCTGCACTCAACTCGTGCTGGGAGAGGGCTACAGTGCTGCTGGTGACAGAAATCGATTCGAACACATCAGGCGCGTTCGTCCGTCGAACCCAAAACTCGGAACTCGGCCTGCTGCTCGAAACTATTGTATTATTGAAATCATCCTGAGAGATGCTGTTGGTTTTCTGCATTTAACTCGGGCTGTAGGGAGGCTGCAGGGCTGGTAATCATATCTGTCGGTTCGGAGACATCAAACATGTCCGCCTGTCGCATTCAGAGGTCTGAACTCGGTTTGATATTCGGACTGTGTTGCGAAACTAGTTTTTTTGTTAGAGTCATCTTGAGAGGTCCGAAATCGCTTGGGCTGAAAAACTAGTCGTTCTCTGGAGTTTTTTCCCATATTTTATAGTGTCAGGAAGCTCTACGAGTCCCCGGCGGTAACCAAGGTTGACGGTTTACCGCCGGCGCCCAGTTTGGGTGGTTTTGCGAAAATTTGAAAGATATTTGGCCATTTATTTTGAAAAAGCAGATTTTTACGCCGAGCATTGGCATATGAACTCCTCTCTGACGGCAGCTCAGCTCTCTCGATGCATTTTTGCATGAGTTGACTTCCGGGAACTGAGCAAATATGAACATCTAAAAAATCGAATTTCAAGATTTTCGGAAAATCTTCATTTTTTCATTCTGTGTCGATTCTCTGCACTCTTACTAGTGAGAGGAGCTCTACGAGGTTCCCGGCGGTGACTAGGTTGACGGTTCACCGCCGGTGCCAGTTTTGCAAATATTTGATAGATATTTGACAATTCATTTTGAGAAAGCAGATTTTTCGCACCTGTAGACAACTTTGAGGGCCCCTGCGTCTTAATATGAGCGCTGGAGGCGCACTTTTACTATCAAAACACTTGGCGCAACCAA